TGAAAGGGACGAAACGTTCAATAAGATCGAAATAACGTTCTACAATTTTTAACTTGTTCAACTTACCCCTGTGACACATTTATTAATAATAATAATAATCATCATCATCATTATTATTTTTAAGATTATAGAATCCAATATAAAAATGTGTTTTACCGAATTCGGTGGCAATAAAAAGGAAGTTGGATGATTACTGATGATAGGTAATATCATTTTTCAGGATGCACGAAACCGGAAAGCGGATGAAGGAGTAATCCGAGAGGTGTGGTGAGGAGAGGAGGGAAGTATTCGTGTTAAAGGGGAAACAAAAAATATAGTGAGAAGTGCTACGATAGACGCTATGGTGGTGGAGTGGTTGTGTCCTGGACTTAGGCCCACCGGAAGCCGTAGGCCTCGGCTCCTCCACTGCAAAGTGATTCTTCTCGACGAGCATGAATTATTGCAGGACGTATTGGTGAATATATTAATCATTTATTATTACGATATAATATACCGAGGGATAACATTAATATTTTATATTTTAGTTCGATAAATTCTTTACTTATTTACAATGATCAAGGAATATATACATTTTCGTGTATCAGAACTTATATAAATCGAATATACGAAACAATTATTCGGGTATGAATATGCAAATTTTTTATTATTAAAATATACCGATAACATTAGTATTTTATATTTTAATTCTTATAAATTCTTTATTTGTTTTTTTTTCAATAATCAATGAATATATATACGTTTGCGTGTATCAGAACTTATATAAATCGAATATATGAAACAAGTATTGGGGTGTGAATATGCAAATCATTTATTATTATATATACATTTGCGTTTACCAGAACTATAATAGTATAATATACGAAACAAGTATTGGGGTGTGAATATGCAAATAATTATTTATTATTAAAATATACCGATAACATTAGTATTATTTATATTTTAATTCTTATACATTCCTTACTTGTTTTTTTTTTTTCAATAATCAATGAATATATATAATACATTTGCGTGTATCAGAACTTATACTAATCGAATATACGAAACAAGTATTAGGGTGTGAATATGCAAATTATTTATTATTAAAATATACCGAGAAATAACACATTAGTATTTTATATTTTAATTCTTATAAATTCCTTACTTATTTTTTTTTCTTCCAATAATCAAGGAATATAAATACATTTGCGTTTATCAGAACTATAGTAGTCTAATATACGAAAGAACCATGGAGTATAGTTCGAGAAAACAAATCGAGTTATCGACAATCGATCGAACGATTTATAGGAAATTGATCGTTAAGCTCGGTATCGTTTTACGATCATTTTACGAGGCTCTTGGCATAATCATCGACAACGATGATGATGATGATGATCATCATCATCATTCTCTCGTAATACCTACGAATAACCATATATATATATATATATACATACTCTACGAGATATCGTCGCGGAAACGTACTTTTAATCGTTCAGATATGCCAAGTTAAGTAAAACGATATCGTGCAATGCAATGAAGTGTTGATTATGTACAACGTACATAATATAATAAGCCTCTATAAGTGTAGAGATATGTGTAGGTGTAACTGATGAGTATCGAGTTTCCATATTTTGCAACGTTTATAACACGTTATCGGAAGTATTTATCGGAATTCTTTACCTTAATGTCTACAAGTGTATTCGTAATTTTAAAAAATAAAGATCAAACGATTATTCATTTATTTGACGAACAAATAGATATATTTTGTTTTTTTTTTTTTAAACAAAAAAAGAGTAAAAAGTATGTATTTTGAAATCAATTGTGATTTCTTAGTAATACTTTTGATCATTTTCATTTGAATTCTTTTAAAATCCATACGAATATTATTAATTTGAATTTTTATATCAATTCTGAGATATATATATAATATTATAATAATAAATATTTCTTTCAAAGTTGTGTGTGGAACGTTTAGGTGTCTATGAACTACCGTAAGATCTCTCATGGTCTATTCGATATATAATAACTGTCGGTGCTCGGTGCAATTTCGCGCAAAAGGCCGTCAGGTTATGGGCACCCTGTTAATTGCCATTGGGCCCTAAGGGGCCCCCGACTTATATGAGAATGCACTACTCGTCATCCCACATTGCGTGCATTCTATTTTCTTCTTCTTCTTCTTCCATTCTATCATTCTTCTTCCTTTAGGTGAAATTTCTTCGAATAAAAAATATTTCGGTTCACAACAACGAAATATAATGATAAATAATAATTCGCGTGGGCCAAAAAATTATTTTAAATACAACCATACGAAATAACGATTAACGAACATAGAAAAGAAATTCTTCGAAGGTTAGAAAAAAAGAAAAAAAAGAAAGAAAGGAAAGGAAAGAAAATAATATTTAAACATATCTCTCTCGCCGACCACCAAGAACCTAAAGAAAATCGTAAATTACCGATCATGATTACCCCTACCCAGGCCCTTAATGGATGCCCTACTGCCGGTTAAAATCGCTTTTGCTTCGTAATGGAGAAAGATACGGGGTAGATTTCTCAAGAGAGATCATCCTTCGCTATCTTTATTCATCATTATTTCCTTTTCCTTCTCACTCATGTAAGAATTCGAAAAGATTCTTCTCGTATATGGTATCGGATCGGTGGGGGCCCCGATCGGGTGGAGAATGATGAGGAGGAGGAAGGAGGAGGAGGGGGGGGAGACCCCGTTCGGTGGCAAATTAACAGGCATTTGACGCGTGGGAGAAGGAGATCCTTCTGGCCGATTAGTTCTCCGCGTATGGTTTATGACTTAACGACGTAATGAGAGGTGGGCTTTAATTGCCGCAAAGTACACGCTTTACCTGAGCTCTGAACCTTGATATGACCACGGGGAAAGAAGAGAGGGGAGAAGGAGGAGGAAGAGGAGGAGTACCCGAGCAAGAAGAACAAGAGGAATAATACGCGCACGTCGGAACTCCTTTTACTATCGTAACGTTAAACCACTCATCGTACCCTGTGTTGGTACCGCTGTGTTTCCGTTCTTTCACTTTTTATTTACCTCCCCCCCCCCCCTTCTTTATATCTTTTTGTTTTTCTTTCGAGCGAGTTTCTCTATCTTCATTTCACCTCTTTAAAAAATCTTTTTCCTCCTTTTTTCTCCACCCC